TCAGCTTTGCTCGCTCTCAAAGGGGGACCGGCAGACCCGCCATCTGCCTCCTCCCTCACGACAGATGCAAGTCATCACTCAACAACTGAACCCGTACGTGCCATCCCTGGTCAGCGCCCGGTGCCGGCGACATTTATTTTGTCTATTATATCTGTGTGAGACGCTTGAAGGAGCCAGCCAGCCAGTCAACTAACTAGTTGCTGAGAGTTTCTCGATCCCTTCCGCACCTATCGGTCCTAACTAGTTATCTTGCTCCAGCTGAGCCCTCATGCTTCAGCCTCTCCACACCACCAGCAACGCTTCAACTCCAACGAGACCTGATCGGAGAAAGGATTATCTCTCTTTTCCTTCAGTTTTCTTTTTTTTTTCTTCACCCTGCGCCCTAAAGCTTCTGGCCTGAGTGAGCTGTCGAGCCCTTTTCCAGGCGAAGGAGCTGGATACTTTATATACCCTGGTTGCTTTGTTCAGCCCTGATAGTGGGCACGCCCCGGACACAATCGCAATGGCCATGTTTTCTGTTCCATCTTCAAACCGCAGCTTTGACATTCTCTCAACAATGTCGTTCCAAGATGTACCGCATGCGCCGTTTCCTACTACTGGACTTTCAGCCGAGGATAATACTTTGCTTATGGGTGGTTTGATGATGTACCCAAATTACGACGAGCCAGGGAGAAAACAGCTTGTTGGGGACAGTAAAGACAAGGAAAATTCCACTAGCACTGGTCAGCAGAAACAGAAAAGTGTATCAACACGGGTAAATATACACAAGAAGGGTGGGAGGGAGACTGGCGCTGTGTCAATGTCAAACGAGACCAAGAAACGTGGACGTCCAAGGGTGGACTGTCCCGATAGAACGGCTGCCGAAGTAAGTCAGATAAAGCCTTTGCGCCAAAACTACATAGCTACGTGCTAATGCCATTCAACAGCGCCGTCGGACTCAGATACGGCTTGCTCAACGAGCATACAGAATGCGAAAGGAAACCGCAATCTCGTCTCTAACCCAGCGTGTTACAGAGCTAGAAGCAAACATGCAAGAGATGAGGGAAGCATTCCTAGCTTTCAACGACGAAGCTGTGAGAAGTGGCGCTCTATCGGCATATCCAAGGCTGGCACAACAGTTGGAAAGGACGACAAGGCGGGTCATGTCCTTGACCCCCGAGGTCTCAGAGGGTGGTAAGAGTCCTACAAGTGACTTGGACGAATTACCAGCGCCAACGACCGCTGCAGAAAACGCCAGCTGTGTTATTTTGAGCAATCCCACAGATACTTATGCCAGTGATGAATCATGCCAGAATGTTCATGACAAATTGGGGTATTTCAACGCCGAGCCCTTGCCATTGAAGGACGGCAATAACCTCTTATATATGAGTACTATCCCTACCGATACTACCCAATTTTATGGCCCCACGACAAATGATGCTATAACCTCTATCAACATCCCTTCAGTCAGCATTCCCGCTTTCGAAGGGACTGGATTGTCCTATTGCCCTCTCCCTTCTCCTTGCTCTAGCGGTGGATACCTTTTCAGCCGCGACCTTCCAATTACGTATAGCCATCAAGAGTCCAGCTTTGCTCGTCGGCTCCATCGCCGCTCACTCGAATACGGCTATGCTCTATTGACAAACCCTGGGACACGACCAGAGCGCTTGACCCACAAGTTCAGGCTCACATTCTACCTGACTATGAGAAGTCATCTACATAACTCGTTTACTACCCTACTACGAAGAACTGCAAACGAGCCGTTGGAATTCATAGAAAAACCACACTTCTGTCTTGGGGGCGCAGGAATGCATTATCCTCGAAGAGATGGTCTTGGGAATAGCATGTTTCCTCCGAATATGCAATCCCTGGACCGTGTCCTCGGGACGCTCCTCTCTCAGATGGGGGAAAATGAGCAGTTCAGTACCGTGCAAGAATTTATTGAGAAAATGGGACTCGGAGGCACTTGGTTCGACTGCCATGATGTGGAAGGGTATCTGAAAACAAAAGGCATCCACCTGGGCAGTCTTTCCACCTTCATCGAAATTCCCTCCTCCCTCGTTGCGAATTCTCGCAAGCTGCTAGCTTCTAATAAACTCGCCCATCCTCCTCGCTCACAACCAAATGTACAAGTTGCAACTTCCTCCATCGAAACCTCATACTCGCCATTGAAGCACCGCAGCAATTATAACAGTCCTAGTAGCAGTTCGTCTATTATGCGACCACTCGGGCTTGATTCTCAGTTCCTACCTCCAACACCCGCTATCGACCAAACTGTAAATTTCAGCACTGTAACTCACAGACCACGAACCGTGATTTTGGATGTTGAGAAATTTACCACTCGTGAGTTGAATAGTTATTTGCTATCTTCAGCCGATCTTATTTTCGCTCTATTCCGTGTGTTCACGTAACTTACCTTGCTTCTACAATTAGAACTAGCAAGCCGATCAACTTGCCTCGGGAGAGCCCCCGGCTTTAGAAAGCAGGACGTCCACGCAGCCATCAATGCATCTATTTGCACGCCTGATGCGTGATAACTCTGCCTTATATGATTCTTCAATACCCTGATACCCCCCTGCAGCGATGTTACTCTCAAAGCTCCGTTATCCCGTGGCGCTACTACAATACTGTGCAGGTTTGAATCTGCTTTTATCATTGATAACTTTAGCCGAATCAGACGACCATAAACGCTTGATATTATCGCTCATTTGTAACATTATCTCACATCTTCCATTCATTACGACTCAAGATTTTATATCTTTTTTTTTTCTTCCTTTTGTCCTTTTTTCCCATAAGCTTCTATCTACGGTTCGTTTTTGCTCTTGTGGTCGCGGGGTTATATAAAATTGAACCTTATTCTATTTTCAGACGTGCAGATGTTAACTCCTTATTGAAATACAGCTGAATCGATCTCATTTGATTTCAGCCTGTATATTTCAAATATATTTGACTATGGCAATAACCAGCGAAACAGACAGGAAATGGGGCCGTTTCGGGACAGCTCTATCGTACTTTTATATCACGTTATTAAATTCAACAATATCGTCAGGTGGAAATTATCAGGAATCAAAATAGTCAATACAAGCGGATAAGCCCGAAATCAAAATGCATAGCAATAAATCCGCGCCAACTAAAACGTTATAAGATCCAAAGCAATTCTAAACAATTACAATCAATTCAGTCCATCATCATTTCATCATGAAGTAAATATCAAAGCGAGAGAAAAGAAAAAAGTACCGAGCCCCATAGAAAGGAGTAATGCGTGATCAGTAGGTATAGTTATCATCAGGGTCCTTAAAGGTGATACTCTCTTTTCAGCTTTTCTTCTTCCGTCAGTTATGTAGTCGATCAAATATATCGTAATTGAATGACCAGCAAAGAAAAAGCGATTTCTCTGCTCAGAGGATATTTTTTTTTCTCCGGAGCTACTTAGTGGTGACGCTCCCGTAGCTGGACAAGCGCGGTCCACCCTGCACAGCATGTTCGGGACATTCTGTGCTCACACCAACAGCACTTAATGACCGACTGGTTGAGGAATGAGAAGCGGGAGAAGGCAGATGGAGGGGATATTGTGCCACTGCTCATCGTGTTTGTGCTTTGCCTACTACCACGATTCCCAGTGCCCATCAAATTGATGCTGGTCCTAGTCTCATCATCCATCTTATTTAGCTGTGGACTGGAGGGTTCTGAGATACTTGGCCACCGTACACCTCCATCTTCCTCCGAGTGTCTAGAGCTTTGGGTAGGCCCTGTTACCAATTTATTCTTCAATGCCGCAACAGTAGGGAACGCAAGCTTAGCATAGGCATCTGATGGCATATCATGCCAGAACTTGCATTTGCAGCATATTACAAACATTTTCGCAATACGCTGGCATGAATTAGTAGGGCGGTTGCCTCTGGATGAGCCGGGGCTCACACTGGAAAATCCAAGCAAGCTAGAAGAGCTCGAAATTTGATCTGACCCAAGCCATGGCTTGCCTACCGGCTTAGTAAAGTAGCTATTTCCTTCTTCCTTCATACTCCTAAGAGCTGATATACTGGTAGGGGAAGAGGGATGGCCCGGACTTGTGTTTTCAGGAGAAGGAAGAGGAAAGTTTGGAGCAACTGGACCACTGGCGTGACTAGACGGCGGTTTCTCAACTGAGGTGGAGATCGAACCGACCCCAGTCGAATTCGGTCTCTTTTTTTTAAGCTTCGCCTCGGTCTTGCCCAGTGACGGACGTAACTTATGGATGATATCAATCGAATTACGGCGTGGCCTTGCCGTATTTCCATCATTAGCAGTTAATTTCTGCTCGCCATTCCCAAGCGAGAGGGAGCCTTCTTGTGCGCTGTCAATGACTTTTGATTTGGACTTGCCATCAGACTTAGATGCCACATTTGTAGAAGTCTGATCGTCTGAATGACCTTTACCTGGAATTTTCGTGTCATTTGTAGTTCCTGCATTAAAATCAAGCACTGCTTGCTTAGCAGGAGGGGTATCTATCTCATTTATGGCTGCCTTCTTCGCCCTACTAGGTCTCAGAAAACGGTCAAGAGAAAGGTGACGGGTTCCAGCTGGAATTGATTCGGCGGCAAGTTGGCGCCCTTGTCCAGTTGGCGAAGTGACCATTGGCTGAAGTGCAATTCCAGCACAAATTGGATCAGTATTGCCGTTGCACGCTGCTGAACCCTTGGGTTCTGGGCTGAAGAGGGGAGGCCCTGATAACGGAGATGGCCGCAGCCGCGCTGTTCGGCTGAAATTAACGGTCGTCTTCGTTTTATTATCGTAATTATTGGAATCTGAACTAGCTACGGGCATGCCATCGACAATAACGGCTGTATCGGAAGTGCAGGAGGAATCTTGTGCCTCAGTTGTAGGTTTATCATGGATACCAGGTTGGTTATTCGACTCCATTACTGGGTCATTATCACGAGGAAGGTCTACAACCTCAAACAACTCCCTAGGCTTCTTGGCATCAGCTCTTGGAGAGGCACGAAAATCAAAATTGCGGTTGATTTTCTTAGATATATTGGGAGACCGCGGTTGAAGCGACACCTGCTCTTCCTTCTTAGGCGTTTGGCCAGCATTTTCTCTAGACCTGTCAAAATCGTGAGTTGGGTTTTTTGGAATTTTTACAAAAAATGATTGGTCCATAGAAGCGCTGCCGATATCGTCTCTAAGGGTCTCGGCCACGGGGCTTTTGAACGAGGAAGCAAACGGTATCCTTGACGGGGAGATTGGACCTGGTGATTCGATGTTATTTGCGATAGGGGCACGGGCCGACCGTTTCTTACTACTACTGGGCCCGATAACAACCCCTCTGAATGGTGGAGAGCTCTGGCCCTGACCTTTCTGGGCTGACTGGCCATTCCCGGGTTGGGACGGCCTTCCCTGTAATATTCGTTCACAAGCGTCAGCCTTGCCATCGTGGCATTCACGGAAACCCTCAGGGTAGTGGCCTGGCTTCTCGGCTTGAACAACTGGACTTGTAATCTGGTCATCACCATCCTCATTGGAGTGTGACCTGGCTATAGAACGGAGGTCCCCATGTTTCTTGACAGTGTGTAAAGAATGTCTAGGGGCACTTTCCAGCTGCGCTTCAGAATCAGATACGTGACTTCTCTGTGGCACAGCGTTTCTGGCTTTGAATTTCTTCGACCACATCCGCGGACGCCAAGCTCCTCCGCCTTTTTGCACCTTTTTGAAAGAGTCCAAAAAAGAAAGCCGCTTCTGGCCATCAGTATCAGATCCCTGAACTGAGCTGGCTCTAGAGGATCTGTTTGACCAGAGCGACCTAAAAGAAGATGCAGTTGATGGGCGCTGCATACGACTATTGGCGCTGGAGGCCCTGCTAGAAGTGGCTGGTGGAGGCCGCTTGGTCAGCTTCCTAGGTTCTCTCCGAGAAGTTCCGCTATGCTGTTTCTTCGATTCGTGCTCCAATTTTCGTTCCAAGTCTCGTTGATCCTGTTCTTGTCGTTTTTGGTCTTTTTTCCTTCTTTTCTTGTCAGCAGCTCTAGACCACGAAGGGGAGACACAAATCTGGGAGCTGATTGATTGCTCGTCGGCCAAATCTTCCTCTCTAGGCAGCTCGCTGGGTTCGCTTATGTTTGTCTTATTGACATCGTCGCTGGCTTCATTCACTCCTTCTTCTAGGACCTGGGGTTGTGGTGTTACATCATCGAGCGTCTTGATGATAGTTTTATCTCTGTATTTAGAGCTTGGGGTCCTAACGACGGAACGCGAGGACAAAGGCCGTTGAATAGAATCATCGAGTTCATGGGGGAATTCGAGTGCATCTCGATAGAACTTCGTAAGTGAATATTAGAATATGGCAACATAATCTGGAGAGGGAAGGCTCACTTACTTCCAAATCGCCCTCGGATATGGAATCTGGGCCATCAAGTTCTTCCTGGGGAGCCATTGCTGTGTGTTACAGTTGCAGGTGTATCGGTTAACCGGGTGCGAAGTTTTTGCTTGATATGAGTGCCTTTGCCCAGTCGCTGCCAGGTGTTCCTCGAGATATGCCGGGTACTTAGTATCTTACCGAGATAGAAGCAGAAGAGAGAAGGGAGAGGAGGGGTAAAAAGGTGGTAAGGGACGCTGTCAAAGGATACAAGAACGGATTCACTGCGTCAAATGACAATACACCATAGCATGGGAATTGCAAAGATAGCGACAGAAACAACAATATATAGATGAAATGAGAGACTAAGGAAGGACTTTTGTATGTTGATGCTGCAATCAGGGAGGGAGCATGTGCTAGTAGAGATTGACAAAGGCGGACTAGGGGATGCACAGCTCCAATATTCAAAGCCACGCTCTTCCAGATCTAGGTGGCAAGGGGATAAGGGGGAGATGGACAGGAGGTTCTTGCAGATGCATCCAGGCAAGTGTATGAGGGCCTAGATCCTGTGGAGTATGTAGGATATTAATATCGCAGCGGCTCCTTCTTGACCGTTAGTGTATATATATATATATATATATATAGATGGATCCATAGATATATATTCATACCGGGCTCGGCAGGCAGTCTCAAAATTCGGGAATAGCAGCGGGTCCCGAATATCCTGTCGGCAGCGGCAGCAGCAGCACTTTGTATCTCATATGGAGCACTCATAAATCAGCCAGCTCTCTTCTCTCGATACTCCGTAGTGGTAGACAGCTCCAGCTTGCTGCTACAGGCCGAGAGACTGCTGGCAGCTTTTCGCGGCGAGCGCGGCGCCAAAGTCAACGGCAGCCAGGCACTCTTAACTACTAGTTAACTAGTTAGTTAGCCTTCGCGCAGGCCGGAGGAGAGGGAGGAAAAGGGTCAAGAGTGAACCACGCTGGCGACAGAGGGGCGAGCACGCGATCCGAGACACCGACGGCTGAAAAGAGCGTCTTTTCCTCTCCTCGCTTTCTTGGGATCTCCATCGAGCTGAAGAGGCGGTTTGGATCGTTAAATTATCATCATTCAACTGACGGCTCGTCGTCTGGGAAAAAGGAACAGAAAAAGAAATGAGGCGATCTCGCGGTGTTTTTTTTTTTTTTTTGCCACCGGCGGCGGATTATTAGTCATGCGCTGCTCGTAACGAGGGAGCAACCTTAGTTACATATCATTGATCAGTCAACGACAACGAAGAAGACGACGAAGAAGACGAAGATGAAGACGAAGACCTGGTTTGGAATCAGCGTCACTTCGTTATAAGCGCCAGCAGCTGCCAGGGGAGAGTGGGAGCAAGAAGAGCGGCGCCACGGAATAACTAGCTAAGCAACCATGGCCACGGTTGCATGATGTCTGGGACTCAGGTATGCGAGGCTTGGAAGCACTCGGGCAAGTTACGAGTAATCAGTTAACGCCGGGAAGGCTGCTGAGAATCTGAGATGCGTTGGCCCTTGTACGGAGCACTCATAACGTCGGCATCTGCAGCTCAGGGCATTAAGGGCCGTGGTGAGCCTCGTCCTCGTTGCTTAAACGCCCAGCATCTCCTGCGAATATAATATTTCTTACCCATCGTAAGATCAATTATTTCCGCCACGCTATAATGCTACCATTCATCCATCCATCCATCCATCCATCTATCCATCCATCCATTCGTTCGTTCGTTCGTTCGTTCATTCATTCATTCATTCATTCATTCAATCATTCATAGATTATATAAGACACGGGTGTTTGAATTCACCTTTTTCTATCCTACGCCGAAGATCCTCAATGTCCGGGCTGCGCGCCCGGATAAACTTATCAATGCGTCTATCAAGCCAGCGATCCATGCTATGGCAAAAAAATTGGCGCATGAGCTGGAGCTGGCGATCTGTCCGATTATATAAAAATCTCCGCATGGCCTTCTCGTACCGCGGGGAACATGACGTAAAAACCGCTTCTTGATAAAGGATCGCCTCCGCTTTCCGGTAGATTTCTTTGCATGTTAGAAGAAGTGGGAGAACATTTAGGGACGTGTCATCGGTTATCGGTGAGAGACACGGGTGTATGACCTGGAAAGGGGGGATGAGAGCATATCGCAATATGCGCCGTTGCACCTGTATGGGGAGACGCAGGAACGGGAACTGCCCTGGACGTTCTGCAGATGATCCCTGGCTGCTGTCGGATGCGAGCCCTAGCTGGCCAGTAATCGCTCTGGCAAGCTCGTCATCGTTCGGCAACAGCTTGCCGTCATCCAAAGTGAACACGATCCCGCCGGAGAGCCTCAGGGGAACATTAGTTGTCTGATATCTGCCAATTGTGAAGACTTGCAGCAGTCTTGCCCTCTCAACAGGATGATTCGGGAGCTTGAAGTGAAGCATCCGGAGCGAACTGCAGTCGCGGAAGACCAGATCCATTACATTCCTCCACTCGCAGGGAGCGACCTGCCAGAGGTAAGTGCTGGGGGAGTGAAGTTCAACTTGTATACGACGAACCAATCTGCGCTGTCTCGTGGATAGTCTATCCACAAACGTCGTGATTGAGTGTCTAAATAAGATGCCAAAGGTGACATTTGAGTACATGACTCGCTCTGCCTCATCCCGAAGCTGGCGACATGTTCGAAGAATGGACAAAGCACAAGAATCATGGGTAGCAGTCCGAGTCAATTGGATATCTATCGGTTCATGTTCGTCTGGATATACAGGCTCGTGTATGTTGCCTGCGCGGCGATACAGAATGGAAGAGCTTCTTCCCTTTGTGAACAAGACAAGAAACAAAATCTCGTCTCGTAGCTCAGCTGGCAGCCCCCGGAAGTTGAAAAACCTGCGACGCCCAGCGTCCATTCTCAGGTGCATCTGTCGTGAGAAAATACACGGGTGTCAGCGGTGGAGAATGAAAGATGGAAAGGGGCGGGCGGGCATGGGCAGCGGGACTTTTACGGCGTTTTTATATGCACGTAAAAAGAAATTCGAAGAAAAAAAATTTTCGATCAAATAGAAATAATGATAACCAAAGTAACTAACAAACCACCCAGCTGGCTAATTAGTTGGCTGTTATCGGCCAAGATTCGCCCCTCGGCCGATTAGCTGATGAAGTGATAGTTGGCTGCGAGTCGACCAGGCAGCCTACGAAAGGTCCTTTTTCTTTCTTTTTTCTTTCTTTTTTTTTTTTTTTTTTTTTTTTTGGTTCATATCGATGACTCCAGGGCCCCTTGTCTGGGTCGTTCGTTAACCAGTTAAACACTACATCAGTTCACTTATTCGGAGTGCACCGAGACGGTTTGACTCCTCCATGCTCGTCGGCAAACCCGTTCACCATGACCGTTGTTGAGGCTCAGTCAAGCAACCTTAACCAAATAAAACTATCTGGTTCACTAGTTGGTTGGTTAACCGAATGGAAGACAAGTCAGTTACCGAACCAAAATCCCCAGCCTGCTTTGTTCCTGGGCCGTTGGCCACTTTGCACTGCCTTCCAGGTACGACCTCGCTGGGTCTCTTCCTTTGTTTTCCCTCTGCCGGCGGCCCCCATGGCTTCTGAGCTTCGGACGACAGAGCCGGACAACCATTATTAGTATTATTATTAGTTATAACTAGTTACGGAGTCAACGAGTGTGCCCGCTCGTAAGCTGGGCCATCCTTTCCTTCCGTGTCATCGTATTCAGAGGGTCGGTCCTCTTTTGAGCTCAGCTGGCTGGCGCATCCAAACCCTCGTCCGTGGCTCAGCATGGCTCGGTAGTGACCATGAGTCGCTGGTTAACGCAATAGGTAACTAATGGCTTCATCCAGGCAGAGAAGAGAATTGGCTGGCCCGTTTTGCGCATGAATCCCTGGATGGTGAGGGCCAGCCAGATGTAGGGGCCAGAGGTGAGAGCTTGCGGCGATCATCCCCTTGATAGATCGTCTGAAATGTCGATGTTTGATTTGCTCGTTGCTTTGTCTGGGTAACGAGCCAAAAGCTCAAGCACTTCAGCCCCTTGCTAGCCCAGAAGACAACCCACTCTGGCGCTAAGGCTCTCGTATGTACTTGCGTGCTCCTGGGAGTATATAAAGGTAGGTAGTTGGGCACCTCGATCCGCAGTCTTCTCTGTCTCTGGCATTTCTGATCCTTAGTTACCCCTATCCCAAAACATAACTAGCCCACTGGGCCCCGACAGCAGGTCTGGTCTGATATCCCGTCGCAACCCGGACAAAAGATGGCATTCCAGGGACAGCATCCTCCTGCGCAAGGAGGCTATTACCCTCCTCCACCGGGACCGGGAGGATATCAACAACCACTACCTCCCCTCCAACAACAGCAGCCGCAGCAACATGTGCCGTATAACTACCCTCCTCCGCCTCAAGGCGGCGCCGCCCATTTTCCCCCACCCCCTAACGCCGGATCCCCTCCTCCGGTAGCCCACACTCCACCGATTCAATCACCTCCTCCTCCAGTCAAGGTCGAGAATGTGCCTGGAGCCCCACCCCCCGGGCAGTTCGTTGGAGCTCAAGCTACCACTGCAGACGACGTTGGTACATTCAATGGCGGGAGCTACCGCATCAGTCACCGCGACACGAATTCGGTTCTCACTATCCAGTTAGCAATGGGATGCCCATTGATAGCTAAACCAGGTACGAGGGGCTATCGTTTTCATTTAGTTATAGCAGACCCTTTGTCCTAAGTCTTCTCAACTTCCACAGGTGCCATGATTGCCATGTCCCCTACTGTGTCTCTGAAAGGCTCCATCAAATTCTCCATGAAAAAAATGCTTGCTGGCGGTGAAATGTCCTCGTCAACGTTCACTGGACCTGGTGAACTACTACTGGCGCCCTCAATGTTGGGTGATATCTCTCTTCTGAGGCTTAACGGTCAGGAGCAATGGTCCGTCGGCAAAGACGCATTCCTTGCATGCACTCAAGGAGTAGTTAAGGACTATAAAAATCAGGGCCTCAGCAAAGCGTTCTTCTCCGGAGAGGGCCTGTTTGTCTATAAGATAAGCGGAACGGGAATACTCTTTGTCCAGAGTTTTGGTGCGATCATAAGAAAAGATGTACGTTTTTTCCCCTTCCGCTTCAGCAAAGGGACCTCAAGGGCTGACAATATAAATCAAACGTGTAGCTGGTCGATGGCGAAAAGTACATTGTTGACAACGGCCATCTTGTATCGTGGAACTGCAAGTATGTTATGGAACGCGTCGCTTCTGGTGGGGTGTTGTCCAATCTCAGCTCTGGAGAAGGCCTCGTTTGCAAATTCACCGGGCCTGGAACGATCTACCTGCAAACGAGAAATGCCTCTGCTTTTGCTTCTTGGATGATTGCGAACGGTGCTGGTGGTGGTGGTGGTGCCTGAACAAGCGGCCGTCAAATAGCCGACTGTTGCTCGGGGGAGTGAGTTGGACGGGGGTGATCTAGCTTTCATGATTCAAGTATAATGATTTCACATTGCGCAAAGTAGCTTATGATTAGCCGTAAAAGAATGGCTCATTCTTCTAAATTACGCTAATTAAAATGAAGAGTGTCATTTCACATTCATCCATCTACGGGTCCGTCCGCTATCCTGGGGAGCCCGTCAGCCAGGAAGAACGAGAAGAATATTCTGTTCACAGTTGCAATTTGGAACCGAGCGACTCCATACGAAGCAGAGATAAACACATGGAGAACTGACAAAAAAATAAAAAATGAATAAAACCCCCCGGCTACCAGATGGTTGTCCGAGTAAATAAGCAACTGGACAGGTAGGATTGTCGAGTCGCTCGTTAGATATAGCAAACATAGAGTCCACCAGTAACGGAGAATGGTAAATACTTCATTATTGCTTTTTGCGTTTTCCGACCTGTCCACGGAAACCAGTCTTGATCGCAGTAACACTTCGTCGACTTCCACATGAGTTGCAGGTGACGAAGTAAAGGCGGTTTTCTCCCTTGCTCAGTTCCGTGTCCGGGCTCCTACATGTCTTGCAGGTAACATATTCAACTAAACCAACGAAAAGGTTAGTGACGTTTCAGAGACCAGTCGATGAGTTTCAAAGATCACTACTTACCAATATATCTTCTGAGCACGTTCTCAATCTGTTTCTGCTGAAACCGACCCTTTATCACCAAGCGTCTACTGCCATCAACACTGCCGCTTGTACCCAGTTCTGCAAACAAAAACTGCATGACGTGATCGTCAGATCGCTTCATCCTCTTGCAGATGTCGGGAATGTTGGCAAAAATGGTTCGTCGGTTTCCTTCACGTAGACATTGTGGTGGCGGGATCTTGTACGATTTCGAGCCGCTAGCGAGGAGGTCAGGGTGATGGCTATGGATAAGATTGAAGAAACGAGTCACTAGTAGCGAATAATTGATGGGTTGGGTAGCATCGTGGGCCCAAATCCCAGTTCCGCTCTCGAGAGCCTCGATGATCTGTTCTGGTGACTGTGTCTCTTCCGATGCAGTCTCATCTGCTAGGCCAGCCTGAGCGAGTTTGGCCTCGAAGTCACCCTCGGTGGTTTTCTTTGATGACTTCTTTTTCTTCTTCTTTATAGTTGAAGGATCGAATTCAGCATCCGCCGCACCGCCATCTTCGCCATCCACCGCGGCCTCTGTGTCCTTAGACTTTTTTGACTTCTTCTTTTTCGTTAAGCCCTTGAACATATCGGTCATCTCGTTAGCTTCCTGGTCAGGCGACACTACATTCCATAAAGTAAATCGGTTAGCTCATGGGTGGAAAAATGGGAGACAAGACGTCTATCAGAAATTCAGAATGCAACGGGGCGCAAATGTACCAGCAGTGTGCTTCTCAGCAGTCGTCTTGTCCTCGGCATGGTTGGCCTCGGAAATGGTACCGTTTGCGTCCATGACGGTTGCACCCTCGCTGAAGGCAACTGATTTTCGATGTTTCCGTTCTGGAAGAGTAATCTCCTATTCAAGCGAACGAGGGTGTTCTGTTAGTCTCTAGCTATGTGTAATGGTGAAGGAGTCATAACATTGAAGCTTAGCGGGGATTTTATTTTTTTTATTTTGGGGGGGATTGTGGGCAAGGCAAATTTCGAATGACGTACAGTATCAGCCATGGTGGATAGCCCAATGTTCTTTATAGCTAGATTCACTCAAGGACCAAGCCTCTTGATGGGTTCGGGTACAGAAAGCAGGAGAATACGTGAAATACGTTTTATCTCTCGATGGCTTTTTTTTTTTTTGGGTTCACCGCAGCCGAAATATATTTTGTCAGGCGGTTTTTGTGGCGAGCCAAAGAGTGAGGAACCTTGGAACTAGACAGTCACGTGGTAGTTGGCTAGTTAACTAGTTAGCGGCGCTCTCAATGTTTTTAGAAATGTGACATGACAACATAACACAACGAGCAAAGGACAGCCCAAAGGTTTCAGTGGGCGTGTGTGTACAAATAAGGCAGTATCACGACCTCTGATGAAGCGTGTCTAGATATAGAGACGCTGAACTCCTGGCCGACGTGGGAGCACATTAGAGCAACAGCCAGGCCTCCCTGCTACCACCCAGACATGTCGCTCTCTACATCAACCTTCGAACCAAGCTCCCTCTCTTCCTCTGTCTTTACCTTCACACCAAGAGCTACATCTGACTCGGAAGATGATGTAGCGTCGCTGCCATCCTCACCAGGATCCGATTCATCCCTCGACCTCGACCTCTCGGTAGACATTGACGAGGAATCCGATGCGGAAGCAGAATGGAGAGAAAGTCTACAGCAGCTCGAAATGCTATTAACAATGGTCTTAGTACCGTTTGTTGGGAAGTTCCTTGGTAGAAAATGTGCTTACTGGGGTGAGATTGCTTTTCTCCTTGAATACGTGCAAATATCGCATCTTACGGAGAACATACTAACTTAAGCCAGCATGGGGGAAAGTAATGGAATGGAAATACCCAATCAATACATCGATAACGACGATCGAAGCTTTGAGAAGTGAGAAAACCTACTGTATTTTACCATCACTCTGAATTTAATTATCTGAATTGTTGTAGATTATTTGCGATAATGCTGAGAATCTAAGGAACCTGTTCTTAGAGCTGGTAACCCGGCCAAGCCGCTCTGCCGTAGACAAAGTTGGTCCGTCGTCAACGGTAAGGCTGAGCAAGAACGAGGTGTTGTCACTCTGTTACAGTCATATAACAAAAGTATTTTTAATTTCGCGTTCCGGCGCGCATCACCAATTTAAACACTATCTATCTTTATTCTATTCTAGTACAGTCATCTATCGGTATATAGTGTCAAATTGGTACTTTGGCTCTATCAAATATAAGCTTTAAGTAGAGGAGTTATTAAATACATAGGCTTGTGCCCCCCCTCAGCCACTTGGGGGGGGGGGGGTTGATGGCCCCGACTGTTTGTTAGGAACTGACCCTTGAACGTACACTATGGGTAGCACGTAAACCTAGAAGAGCAACCCCTAATAGGATCTACCAAGAGTATAGGGTATATAGAACCTACGCGAGATAGGGGAACTATAGATATTCTAGAAAGATTAGAGGTTAAGGAAACTAATAGTTAGTCTTAAATACTATAAACCCCTATAGTATTTTTTTATCTAATAATAAAGACCTTTATAGTCTCTTCTAATTAGTAAGAGAGAACTAACCCCTAATATATTTAATATACTAGTAGTCTAATATTTTAACTATTTTTTATAAATTAGAAGATATAACTATAATATAAAACTATATATATTTATAAAAAAATAAAATATTATCTATAGATAAAATATAAAAAAAACTATATTTATTAATAAATTAGATTATAGATATACTTATAAAAGAATAATAAAAATTATAAAAATTACTAATTAATAAAGTATAAAAGTATAACTACTAGAGCTTACTAAAATAATATAAAGAGAAGATTTAATATCTAGAATACTAAAAGTTATTACTAAAGGTAAAAATATTAATATAGAATAATTTAACTTTAGAAGAATATTTAATTTAATTTTATTAGCTAAAGAATACTCTATAGAATACCTTTTTTAAAATTCCTAAAAAAGTAAAGATAGTCTAAGCTTAATAAGGGTAGAAGGCTAAATTAAATTTTATAATTAAATAGTATAATTAAATAGAAGTAAAGTAAATAATACCTAAAATTTAAAAAATATTTAAAGAATAGTATAAAGATTAAATTAAATATTCTATTAATTATAGTATTAATATTATTCTAAAGTTTAATAAAGTAAAGTAGTATCTCTAGTAAAATATTAAATCTTTTTTTAATTATATTAAGGGTCTATATAATAATTATAGTACTAATTTATTAAAAAAATATCTTATATTATTAATTATTAGAAAACTCCTTTTAAATCTATAATATAAAATCTAATAATTTTATACTTAGCTTATAGTAAGAAGGAATATATAGCTAAGAACTACTCTAATAAAATAAAACTTCTAGGGGATTAACTATAGAACTAGAAGGGGAATAATAAATTTAAACTTTTTACTATATAGATAGAGTCCCCTATAATCTAAATAGAAGTAATATTATTACTATAATTAATTACCTTAAAACTACTAAATAGAGATAAAATCTAAGTATAAACTATTATAAATAATACTACTAATTATAATTTTATTAACCTAACTTTAGTAGAGTTATTTCTAAATAAATTTAAAAGAGATCTAAATAAAAGAGTTAATTTTCTAAATAGAGAAAAAATAGAGTTTTAAAGTATAGTTCTAGTAAATATAACTCTAAAAGATAATTAAGAGATTATTTATATATATAAGGTACCCTTTATAATTATTTCTATAGTAGATATTAAAGTTATCTTAGGTAAACTTTAGTTAGAAAAAATTAACTTAAGGATAAATTAGAAAGAATACTACTAGTATTATCTATATATAGTAGAATAGGTAGCTATATTAAAATCTAAAGAAAGTAAAATATCTATAATAGTCTAACTCCTTTTACTAACCTTTAAAGGGAAGGCTATAGAGAAAAAATAACTACTAAGAGAGTTTAAATCTTTTATAGAGGTTTTTTTAAAGAAAGTAGTATATATATTTATTAATTCTAAGCTAATATTCTATAAAATTAAGCTAGTAGATAAAAAGATTCCCCTCTATTTACCCTTATATAATCTTTTAACTAAGGAGTTATAAGTACTAAGGGAGTATCTAGATATTATACTATAGAGAAAATAAATTAGGGAATCTAAGAGCCTTATAAAAATATTAATACTTTTTATATTTAAAGTAGATAGTAGCCTTTATATATATATTAACTACTATAGATTAAATAAAATAACTATAAAGAACTACCTTACTTTACTTTAAATTAATAAGATACTAGATAAACTAGTAGAAGCTATATTTTTTATTAAGTTTAATTTTAAAAAAATCTATTATAGAATATAAATTAAGAAAGATAATAAGTAGAAAATAGCCTTTAGAATAAAATATAGATACTATAAATATTTTATAATATTATTTAGCTTAATTAATATATTTATAATATTTTAAAAATATATAAATTAAATTTTTATAGAGTTAGTAGATATTATATATATTATCTACCTTAATAATATTTTTATCTTTAGTATAAATAGAGAAGAATATATAAAATATATTAGATTAATACTAAATAAGCTAAGAAAATATAAATTATATATAAAGCTTTTAAAGTATATATTTTTCTAAATATTAGTAAACTTTCTAAAATATAAAATAAGTTATAAAAAGATAAGTATCCCTCTAGTACAAGTTATACCTATATAAAAGTACTAAACTCTATAATTTTATATATTAGATATTCTAATTTTATTAACTTCTATTAATATTTATATATAATATTTCTATATTATAATATCTATTACTAAGTTACTTAAGGGCTTTTAGGGAAGGAAAAAGAAGAATAATTTTAAGTAGACCCCTAAAGTAAGTATAGCTTTTAAAGAGTTAAAAGATAAGTTTCTAATAGAACTTTTACTCTACTATTTTAATCTATTAAGGCCTATAAAAGTAGAGATAAATACTTTAGTATTTATCTATAGAGTAGTACTCTTATAATCTTACTAAGAGAAAGAAAAAAAGCTAGATTAGTATCTAGTAGTCTTTTAGTTAAAAAAGTTAGATAATACCTAAAAGGGGTATAATATACTAAATTAGGAGATATTAGCTATTATAAAATTATTTAAGTATTAAAAGTATTACCTTAAAGAAGTTTAGTATACTATATAGATATTAATAAATTATTATAATATTTAAAAGTTTATAAACTAATTAAAGAAGATTTTTTATAAGAGATAAATTAATTAATTTAAGTAGCTTACTATATATAATTTTAAAATAATCTATAAAATAGAGAAGATTAACTTTATAAATAGCCTATTCTATTATTTAGACTATTAAAATATTTTAGATAGACTTCTTACTCTAATAAAAAAATAGAAATATAAAAGAGATCTCTTACTAATAATTTAGTAAGTTTTAAATAAGTTAATTAGGTAGAAAGTAGATAAGAATAACTACTTAGAGTAGGGATTAAGAGGACTCTCTATTTAGAGAGATAACTAAGAGAATTAAGTTCCTTAATAAAGGGAGCTCTTATTTAAAGTTAATTATAGTTATTTAATATACTATATATCTCACCTATTAGTTATAAAAATAATTATAGAGAAAATTATAGATTTTTTATTAAAGGAGAATTTACTAAAATTAATAATTTTTTTATAATAAGGGGATGCCTTTATAGTAGAGAAACTAGTATAGCTATAGTAGGGAGTAGAAAAAATCTAAAGGTAGAACCCTAATAAAATAGTACTAAATCTAGAAAGGTAGGAGTAAATACTAATAGATCTATTAACTAAGGGTAGAAAGGTAC